TATTCAACGTTACGCTTTTATCCAAACTGATCTGCATTGCATTCAAGGTATACAAGACATACCTTTTATCAGTTCAAAACTACAATATTTTTATGTATATTTTGCATAAACATGCAAATCACATATAATCACAAAATGTGCAAAACTTGTAGTTTTTTTTTTTATTCAGTAAGAGGACGTGCATAAACTATGATGGAAACACATTTACTGAATTAAACACTAAATGCACAACATTTTTTTGAATTCTTTCATATACAAATTTAGAAGGAAACACTCTGTTCAAAAGTTTGAAATTAACAGTTTTATTCAGCAGTGATGCATTTAATTGATCAAAAGTAACAGTAAAGACATTTATAATGTTACAAAAGTTTTCTAATGTTTCTATTTCAGATAAATGCTGTTCTTTTGAACTTTTTGATCATCAAAGAATCCTGAAAATTTAAATGTATCACGGTTTCCACAAAAATATTGTGCAGCACAACTGTTTTCAACATTGATAATAATCAGAAATGTTTCTTGAGCAAATCAGAATATTAGAATGATTTCTGAAGGATCATGTGACACTGAAGACTGGAGTAATGATGCTGAAAATTCAGCTTTACATCACAGAAATAAATTACATTTTAACAGATATTCACACAGAAAACAGTTATTTTAAACTGTAATAATATTTCACAATGCTGTTCTTTTGAACTTTCTATTCATCAAATAATCCTGAAAAAATATCACAGATTTCATAAAAATATTATGCAGCACAATGGTTTTCAATATTGATGATAATAATAGGAATGTTTCTTTAGCATCAAATCAGCATATTAGAATGATTTCTGAAGGATCATGTGACACTGAAGACTGGAGTAATGATGCTGAAAATTCAGCTTTACATCACAGAAATAAATTACATTTTAACAGATATTCACACAGAAAACAGTTATTTTAAACTGTAATAATATTTCACAATATTATTGTTTTTACTGTATTTTTGATCAAATAAATGCAGCCTTGGTGAGCAGAAGATACTTCTTTCAAACACACAAAAAAAAAACTGCTGTCAGGTTGAGTCTGTCTGTAAATCTCTTCTTGGACTGCAATGAAAATCAGTTCTGCTCACCAAAAACCACTGTCATTCATCCTCTTGGATTTACAACAAACACACCTTCACACTCACACAGATGCTCAATAGCCAAGTCTTTGTTTATATAGTGCTTTATTCAATACTGGTTGTATCAAAGCAGCTTTACAGTGTCAAACAGCAAAATAGATTGTCAATACATGCATACAAACACAGAAATCGACTAACTCCGAATGATTGCTGCTTCATCAACACAATTACAGAGCGCAGCTGTGACTCCTGCGTTAGATATCAAGCATGCAAAAGACGGCAGCCATCAGATTATCACATGTATTTCACAGCGGGTCAGTAATTGGGTCTAGTGTCTTGTTTAAGAATGGGGGATGTATTTGCCATCTAATCCCATCACCCCCAAACCGCCCCAGACCCCGACCGCTTCAAACACTCATGAGACCTTAATCTGGTCATGTGTTTCATACAGCACTACAAACTCTAGGCTGACATTGCCTCGCATTGAGAGGCTAATATCACTTTCACAGCAGGATACGGAGGATATTTATGGAAGTGGCCTAAAGCTTCGAGACACACACACACACACACACACACAGTGTATGCACAGAGAAATTCACTATAAAGAGAAGTGAAATCAATATATACTCAATATATATCAATATTTAAGAAATATACGGTGCATTAAAATAATCTGCACATTACAATCAATCATTATACTATGGAAGCTTGTTTTCACCACAGGATGAAAAAATAAAAGGTAATTGTGACTTTTTATCTCACAATTCAGACTTTATATTAGAGTTTATATCTCAAAACTGGTCTTTTTTTCTTGCAATTGTGAGAAAAAAAGTCTGAGTTGTGAGATATAAACTCAGAATTACACGATATAAACTTGCGAGAAGGAAAACAGAATTCGGAGAAAAAAGTCAGAATTGCGAGATATAAACTCTGAATTCTGACTTTCTCACAATTTTGACTTTTTTAAAATCTGAATTCTGAGTTTACATCTCACAATTCTGTTTTTTTTTCTGCCATGGAATAAAAAATAAAAAAGGCAATTGCGACTTTTCATCTCGTAATTCAGATTTTTTTTCTCAAAATTAAGAGAAAAAAGTCAGAAATTTTAAGATAGAATTGCAAGAAAAAAAGTCCAAATTGTGAGATAAAAAGTCACAATTACCTTTTTTATTTTTTCATCCTGTTATATTTGACCAACTTGTACATAAATAATTACTTATTTAATAGATGCTTATCCAAAACTTAGTGAACTAACAGATTCATTTCAACATGAAATACTGTTTGCACACCAATTTTTTTATGTGATATGTTCAATGAGAAAATACAAAACATACAAATCAATAGTTTTATATTTCTCCATTTTTAATTTGATTACATCATTCACAATGCTTCATGGGATTGTAGTTCTTTTCCTCAGTAAAGTCATTAAGTCTTGTATCTTTGTCTTTTTGTCTGATTTCAAATACTTTTTTGTTTCAAATCAAAGTTTGTGGCTTATAACTCTATAACAAGGACTTATTAAAATACCTATGGGAGAAAAAAAATGACGTTTAATGAGAAAAACACTTCTAGAAACAACTTCACTGAAAAGTGAGCGGACACTGTTGCACTCTATTAAAATATTACTGTAATCAAATTCATGAAGTGCCAACCTTCCACTAGAAGATCTAGTTCTACGCAACCTTTCGTAAGGGATTCCCATAGACAGATGGGTCTTCAATATGTGCAGACACACATTCAGAGCATTACGCTTATGCAGCAGACCCCATAATAAAATAAAATAAAAACACATAAATAGCTCCATTAACACAGCGGGGTGTCATGAGCTCTCAGCGGAGCAGCTGCCCTCGTGTCTGTAACACCCACAGAGCTGTCAAAACATGCCAAACGATAACAGCGCCGCTCTTCAGCCGCTAATGCATTTACATTCATAATGATGAAGAGGTTTGCCGGTCAACCTGTCCTCCAACATTGATGGACACAACTGTGATTTGATTATTTAATAAACTCTTGCATTTAAGCATATCAACGATCCAATACAAACAGACTAATAAATGCTAACAGATTCCAGAGAAAGTACAATGTCTGAACTTTCTCTCCCATTTAGCAAACAGTTGGAGATTTTGGTCATTTTCCACTTAAGAGTAAATCGATGCTGTATGTGCATGACTAGATAAGGATGCATTTTTGTAGATGCTATCAAAGTACTAAAAGAACAATACAAACTCAGTATAAAGGACTGTCCCTCATCATCACCAGAGCAGAGAGACAGAGACAGAGACAGAGAAGAGCCTAGAGGCCTTCAAATTCCACTGCCAGTTTTAATTACACACACAAGGGAAAGTGATTTCCATTTCCCATCAGACAGGCACGTGTTCTTCAGCTGCAGTACATCAGACAGCAGCATATTAATTCATCTGTTCAATTCAAATGCATTTCATGGTGCAACTCGCAATGGCTCTTTCATCATGTCAGGAGTGAATCTCTGTGTTTCTAACCAGTACCTCCAATTCAGGACTAGTGTTCTGACAAGAGTAACATTTCAGCAGGGCATAGCGATACTAACCACAGTGAAACCAATTTTCAAAAATTTAATACAATTGTGAAAACTTCTGCTACTCAACATTTTCCTTAATTAATACATTTACACACACACAAACACACACACACACATATACACACATATATATATATATATATACATACATATATACTAGGCCTGCACGATA